AGAGAGAGAGAGAGAGAGAGAGAGAGCACACAAAGAACAGAAGTAACACAAACACATTTAATATTGAATAAACGCACATAGGTAATTCGAGCCTTCCGGATTCTAGATTTCTTCGAATTACTAATGACAATCCACCAATGTCAGCTGTGCCCTTAATTGTAATTAGTAACATGGAGCCGAACATAATGAAAGTCTGAAAGAAATCTGTCCACACGACTGCCTTGAGACCACCCTAAATAAAATAATAAAATCATTCGTCATAATTATATTAAATAAAAAATTTTTTCATTAAATAATTTTCTAAATGCTACTGTATCATATGTTAAATTAATATACATATATGTATACGTACATATATATTTATGTATATGGATATATATTGATCCGATTATATGATAGATAATTCCATTAAAATTAAATATATTTTCAATTATAAAAATGACCTGGGCAGCACAAAATATTTATAATAAATATTTATAAATATTTATTATTTTTTTAATATTATGTGAATACATTTTATACGTACTAAAACATTTTCTTTCCAAAATATTATTAAGATAAAAATTAAATTTTTTATACAATATTTATAGTAAATAAAAATAAATATTTTGTAAATACTTCTCGAATGATTGCAAGGAATGCTATCCGTTTATAGAGTACAAATTAGCATTTCGTCTATATGTACTGGTCTCCTGATATTCATTGTTATTAGTAAAATTCTAAATATATCCCGGCGAGAAGTGATATTATGGTTTCGACATTTTTTACTAGATGACTTCTTATTAGACAGTTCTTAAATTTATACCATATAACATTCCTTAAAGATTACAAAGATATGTTATGTATGTACCAACACGAGAAAGAAGGAAGTGCCAAAGCCAGAGGATCATAGCTTACACGTCTGATTAAAAAATTAAGAAATTTGGATTAGAAAAATTAAAAATAAGTTCTGATTAAAAATTAAAAATTAATTGAACAATGTTAAGCGTGCTTGAAACTTTGGTAAACGCGATTACTGCTGTTTACACATAGCTATAGAAATGTTTTGTTAATTCCTTAATAGCACAATATATTAACGTAATATTAGGAAATAATGTAAATCCAGTATTCCCAATATTGGTCCAATATTGTAAGATGGACGCCTTCTTTTATTTAGCCAATATGTCTATTTAGCAATATTGGTCTAATATTGATACAATAATAATATTGTATATAATCTTATTACATTGTTTAAGATTGGCTAATACACTTCCAATATAAATCTAGTATTATCTATTTATTATCATGCAATATTTACATTTATTCTATAACCAATATTGACTTTACGTTGGACAATATCAGTCAATGCATTTCTAATATAATCAACATTGAATAAATATTTAACCAATGTTTTGCCTAGTTGTACATTTAATGTACTGTGCTACTAGGGTTCATTGATAATATCAAATTCAGAATTTGTTCATGATAAATGGTTTTCAATTATCGTGAAATGAATCAGAAACAGTTCGGTGTAATAACATATTTTTATACATTATTTCCAAATATTTTTTAAATATTTATGATCTATCGAATCTGTTCAATCTCTCATGATAAGTCTTTATAATCTCTTCAATCTAAAACCACCAAAATATCTATGAAATATTTTGATAAATATTTAGAAAGTATTAAGATAAATTTTCTAACATCAGAGATTTTTATTGACCGTATCTGGCAATTTTAATAATACAGAAAATTTATTGTGAAAAATATTACCTTAGCCAGGGTTCGAACCTAGACTTTCCTACATTCTAGGCGGGCGTCTCAACCAATTCGACCACCGACGCATATGATAATATTAGTCGCAATAACAGTATAAAGATGTTGTCTACGCGTCTATTTTAACTTTTTAGAACTGCTATTGTAATACATTTTTTTAATATTTCGTAAATATTTAATAAATATAGTGTGCTGTTTGGATAAGAAAGAAAATATCATCAATAGTATACATCCCAAATAGCACAAAAACATTCCATTAACATTCTAGGAATATACGCCAAGAACATTCGAAGATTCCAGGAATCTTCTAATAGTCGTTTTATATACGTTCGAGACATATTTATAGAATGTACCAACGGAGCACTTCAAAAGTTCTAGAAACATCTCTAGAATGTTCATCTGAATGTGCTACGAATGTACACGAATGTACTGCAAATATTCTAGTAATGTGCTGTAGATATTTCTATGAATGTTCCTGGAATATACAGCAAATATTCCAGTAATGTGCTGTAGATATTTCACCCAAAGAAAAGTATTCTATTTTTTAGTGGTTCCCTCTTGATTTTAGCCGGCACAAATTGACAACCGGCACTACGCGACACGCGCGCGGGCGCGTGAGCGCCAGCTTCTGAGTATTCACCGACCGCCGCTAGGCCGCGCATGGTGACGGCCAAAAACTCGGAAACAAAATTCAGTCTCGCGGACCTCCTTTTATACCCTACGAGACTGAATTTTGCTTCCGAGTTTTTGGCCGCCACCATGCGCGGCCTAGCGGCGGTCGGTGAACTACTCAGAAGCTGGCGCACGTTCTGCGATTCGCGTATCCGCGAATATCTTGCGTATCCTCTTATTTCAAGAGGCTAGTCGTATTACTGTAATGGAATTTTCTATACAGGAAATTAATCTGAATTATAACTTAGGAGTCTACTCTTTTATAGATGAATATGTGTTAAAGTAAGTGAGAAATGCTTCATATAAGATTTTTTGCTTAGAGGAAATGCTTAGAGGATTTCCCCGCTTATGAATAGAATTTTTTTTGGGTGCATAGCAAGCAGCGCCCAGAAACACCAATCATCATTTGAACATGCATAGCATATTCCTAGAACATAATGGAACATACTGCGTATGTTCATATAGAAGTCCGTGAATATACCACGTACATTCTATGCGAATATTCATAGCACATTTACAACATTCCATAAACATTCGTAGCACATACGCTGCTAATATTCCACGTATATACAGTAAGAATATCCGTAGAAAATTCCATATGTACATTCCACGTACATTCTGTAAGAATATTCATAGAACATTCAGAATATGCCATAGACACTCAGGGAACATTTAATGCGAATATTTCCTGGGCATTCTGTGTGAATGTTCATAGAATATGAAGAACATTCTAGAAACATTCACGGCACATCCATGCGAATATTCCTGAGAGAGAACATTCGAATCATATACAAACATTCATGGAACATTCGGTGCTATCTGGGATAGATCCCGCATGACAGTTTGAAAGTGAAGCCTGCAAAACTGAGAGACGTAGAGAATAAATGCTATGTCCTATGTCTTTCTCTGTGCCGTCTTCTGTCTGTAGTTATTGTCAAAAGTGTCCATGTATTCACAGACACATCAAAGAATATTACATGTGAACATTGCAGCATGGGAGATAAAGGAGCCCCCTCTTTCCTATGGAAAAATATTATACAGGGTGTCGGATTCGATTTGGACGACTCCAAAGATTATAGTAGATTGGGTCAAACTGAGAAGAAAAGTTATATACCATTTTACAAAATCCGTAATTATTATCGCGTAATTAAGAAAAACGTCTGAGCCAATAAGTGCACGGAGGAGCGGAAGGCCGGACTCGGCAGACATGCAAAATGGTGTATTTGTTGACATCTCTCAAGATCT